ATGGTGCTGGAAGAGAGCTTTGCAGATACCTTGGACTGCTTGAACAATGAATGTGGGCCCTAGATCAAATCAAGCCAAAACTTGATCTGGAAGCAAAAATGATGAAATTAAGATACTGAGCACATGGGTGTTTAGCCCACTGTTTGGTCTGCTTTAGGAATGGGGTGGTTCACTCTTGGAAACAGTGATCAAATGACATTTTTGTTGGAGAGAACCAGTCCACCCTCAGAGTAGTCTTATCCATACCTTTCTGAGCCAAACAAACAAAACCCCAGGGGCTTCTGTTTTGGGGAGTTTTTTGGGGGGGTTGGTTTTTGTATTTTATTTTTATTTTTATTTTTTTGTGGAAATAGGATCACCTTGGTTTGGATTAGTTCCAGTGCATGTCTTTCTGGATCCAATCGAAAGCAAGCCTTCTAGTATGAATTTGCAAATATCATGAAGTGGTTTAATACACGAGCCACTTTAGGATACTGGCAAATTTATCACTTCCTTTGCTCCTCAGCAGAGGGCCAGGGGACGTTTTGGGTTTTGGGGTCTTTTTACTGTGTAATGGACTATTGCTGATGTGCTGCATCAGTTATATATATAGAACTGATATAAATAAATAAATAAATAAAACGTCTCTTTGCCTTCTCTTAAAATGCTGATTGAGAAAGTGCGTGCAGCCAAAGCCCCCACAGTGGACTCAACTGCGGGCAGTTCAGGCAGCTTCACAATATTGGCAGGAGCGATTTCCATGTGAACCGTCAGGCTTCATTAGATCATTCTAAAGAAGCTCAACCATTCCTAAGAGGCCCACATTACCTCGCTTCCTGCCACTAATGTAGCCGCTCCCTGAGGCTGTTGTACTTCAGGCAGGTCCTGAGAAGGCAAGACTCATCGGAAAATGCATAATGCTAAAAAAAAAAAAAAAACCTTGAAGACACAGTGGAGAGGAATATCATTGTCCTTACTGTTCCTCTGGTTTTACATTTTGGTACTCTTCGGGGACATTTATACCTTGGGCCATCTCTCGAGTTCAGCACAATGAACAATGTTACAAAAAATGGACGTACAGACCAGGTATACCTGCTAGGTATTTTGCTTTAAAACAAGGCAAGCCTCTAAAGTTGTTATATTGATTATTAGCAAGTCTACCTGTTTTCACCCTGGTGGAAAAACCGATGACTCCCTTCCTCTCCACAATGCTCTCTCTTTTCCCACCCACCCCCCATCATGCTTTCACACTCCTCTCTTTTCTTTTTTTCCACTCTGATTTTCATTCAGTTTATATCAGAGTTAGAAACTGATATGGTCCCACCACCACTCCACACTCCGTCTTCTTCCTCCTCTGCTGTGATGTTTCCCATCATAAACACAACACTGATCTTCTTACATCCTTCTTTCCCAGTTCTGGATTCTAATTCCCCCAAGCAGCAGAGCCAGTTGAGATGTAGCCTGTTCAGTTAGATGAGATCTCGGTTGTCTCCATGCAAAGATTTGTGTCTCTAGCTTTTACTATTTTTTGGAAATCTGACCATTTCTGTTCCCGAGTTCTTGGCTGGTTCTTTTTTTCGTATAAATGTCTGTTATAATAATGTTCTCTGTTTTTTCACAGCACAAGTTCTGTTGTTTCCTTCCACATCATAGAAACGTACCAAACACTTATTTCAGGTCATTTCTTCAATCATTGCTTGGCTTTAGTGCAGTGAGAGTCTCATGTCAAACATAACACTCATTGTTTGGTTTTACTATTTTGTTAAAAGTGGAGGAATTGGGTTAATATTTTTTGGATCAAACTTTGAAGTGTTTCCACGGACCTTTATTGGGCAACATGAAACAAATTCCTGCTGAAAGGATTAAATGTTTAAGTTGTGTGGCCATCATGTATTTTAAACAGCGTGTTTAGAATTCATGTTGTAAATATGAATGTAGCACACATTTTAAAAGTAGTGGGTAGGCAGACCCAGTCAGTAAAAATCCAATTTATTTCATATTCTCAAAAGGAAGTTCCTGTCTTCAGATATTTTCTACTCCTATGCAGGATAACTTGTCTTGTTAGCATAACACAGAGATAATGTAAGTGCCAATTGTATGAGGTGTGTACAGTATGAAGAAGACAAAAAAAAGCAGAGTTACAGCATCATAGGCTGAAACAGAGCTTGGGAAATAGCTTTTTAAAAGTAATTCATTACTTCTTACTCTTTTCCTTTGAAAAGTGCCTTGTTACCATTGCCTGTTATTGACGGACTAGTTCATTTACAGTACTCACTATTAATGAGTAACTTTCAATTAATGTTAATAATTTTTAAAACCTGATACTTATACAAATGCAAACATGGGCAAAAGTCTCCCCAAATAACTCCTCCAGGAACATCCTTAATGAGTAAATTATGCCCAGTACACCAGAAAGAGAACATGTTGCCACTTGTCATGGTACTTTTAAAAAGTAAGAAATTGCAAAAAAAAACGTTGTAACTTGTAACCTGGCACTTCCAAGTACTGGATGGAAATTACTGAAAACAATTTCTTATACAGTGGACCCTCTCCTTACGGAATTAATCTGTATTGGAATGGTGGCTGCAAGTCGAAAAGTCTGTAGGTCGAATCTCCATTGACCTACAATGCACTGAAAACCGATTAATCCCATAACTGGCAGTTTTTATTCTATTTTTGTTCCATTTTGGTTTTTTTCTGGTCTGTAAGTCGATTCTCCGGCTGCAAGTCGAATCTAAATTTTGCTGCCAGAGAAGTCTGTAACTCGAAAAGTCTGTAAGTCGAGGGTCCACTGTAGGTCCCATACTACATGTAAGACCACAGTGGCTGTGCTATAAATGGCAGGTGTCAATAATAACAGCCACCTACTAGCTGAACTGTGAACAGCCTTTGTCTGAAAATCTAAGAGAACATGGATTTAGCTGTGCAACAAATAACTTTCAGCACCAGCTAATGAAATACACGTAGCTGTGCAGACAAGGCCATTTATGGTTGTTGTGGGTTTTTCGGGCTCTTTGGCCGTCTTCTGAAAGTTGTTCTTCCTAACATTTTGCCAGTCTCTGTGGCCGGGGGAGGGA